GCTAGTAGGTCCTGCCAAGTGCAACCGTCTGGCTGAATTAGTTGCTAGATACTTTGATCCACATAGGTCAGTGATTGCCTGTGCTGAAAGCTTGGCAAGTCCTGATAAAGCTGCTGCTTGGAAATTAATTCTGTTGGTTGCACAGCATGTAAAAGAAAAAGAAAGCCCTATACACCAGATCACATCTCCGGCGTCGGATGTCATCAGGACCAGTGTCAAGCTGCAAAGGACGCAATGGAACTTGGACCAAAAAGATACGTCAATGAATCACTATGGAGAATGTCCCATGCTTTGCACCTACAACTCGAAGCTACAGGGGGATCAGCTACCACATAAACCTTGCAGCAAACAAAGTTGTGAAGATGGACGTGAGGTAGCTGAGTGATGGTACACTCATCATTTGATGCTTACGGAACATCTCAGTGGTACCATCCAGCAGCGGTTTAGATCACAGTCGCCGTCTCTCTCGAGCAAAAGTGCAATCCAGGACCTGAAGAAGATCTGTCACCTGTTGGAGGAAGGAAAAACGTCCATAACGGTGTCAGATTGGAGGAGCTCCTAACCAACTGTAGAGGAGGAGCTAGCGAAGGACTACGACCTGCTTCTCAGAGGACTGAGAGCTTTCGGTGGAAAAGCCTCAGTGCCTTGAACAAAGAACTAACGTTTCCGAAAGCAACCAAGAATTAGCATGAGAAGAGAAGAGCACTGGGGCTAGATCCGATTGCATCACATTTCAAGCGACTGATGGCCCATACCAGTTCCAGAACTGTTTTGCAAGAAGATTTTGTAAGTACAGGCGATCGAATTTTTTGAAAGCAATACAGGGAAGAAGAGTCTAAAGAAAGCCGGGACCTTCTCGACTACCGTATTCCGCTGACGATTCAAACGAAATGGAATTCGCACATCTTTCCGGTAGGAATCGATCACGAAGGGAGGTTCCAGGACCGAATCACATTTCGGCCGACCTCTTACGGGGTAAAAGACATCGCCTTCACGAGATACTTGCGGTGCACCTAACGTTTTACCTTCAACAGGGAAGGATCTCCGACCATTGAAGAACTTCCTGGACAATCCTACTTCATAAGAAGGGCGATAGGGAGGATCTTTGGAACTACTGTCCAATACGCCTGCTAAGCGTGCTTTACAAGCTCTTTACGAAGATTATTCTCGCTCGCATATCGAGGATACTGGATGAAGCCCAACCTGTAGAAAACTGGATTTCGCCAGGGATACAGCCGTGGATCACATCCAGACAGTTTCGAGGATTATCGAGGTTTGCCGAGGGTACCGCCTACCTCTCGTCCTAATCTTCGTTAACTATGAGAGAGTGTTTGACAGCGTCGAGATTAAGCCATATTGTCAGTGCTCGTCGACCAAGGGGTGGACCCATCTTACGTGAGGACATTGGCCGACTGCTACAGGAATTGCGCTACTACGGTACAGCTTCCCATCGTCCCCTTAACATACCAATCTCGAAGGGGGTTCGACAAGGCGACACCGTGTCGCCAAAGTTGTTTACGGCCGCGTTGCAGTGGGTGATGAAATCATTGGATTGGAACGAAGAGGTATACGAGTTGATGAAAGATTTCTCTCGAACCTCCTTTTTACGCGCAACTTGTCCCCTTTCAAGGAGAAGAAGACGTTTGAAAGAATTAAACCAATTAGGAAAGCGGATAGGACTGTGAATTAACCGGAAGAAGACTCAGCACAAGAAGATCGCTTTGCCAGGTTCAAGAAATGGGATTAGAAGGCTCTCCAATCGCGAACGTCTTCTTACGTACCTCGAACGTTTGAAATGCAGAACGTTCCAAAAGAAGAACTAAACAGGAGGCGAAGAACAGTTTGGGCCGATTTTGGGCCCCTGAAGGAAGCCACAGATCAGACGGACCTAGAGCTCCGAGCCCACCTGTTCTAATTGGCCGTTCACCCTGCGCTCTGTTACGCAGAGACGTGGTCTGACACCGTGGCTACGTCAAAAGTTCTCCGAACGACTAAC